CAAGCGGACCGTATTTGGGTATGTTTCTAAGAGGAGAACCTTTCCCGTCTTTCCCGTGATACCCCCCACCGGGTTCGTTTTTACCCCCCACCCCCACTCCCCCCCCCCCCCCCCCCAGATTTCCTTTCAACGGAGCTGCTGCAGTTCTGCGCTCGAATGTGCGAGAAAGAAATGACTCACCGGGTTTCTCTCGGGCTCACGATTAGGCGGCAATTCTATTTCTCACTTATTATGTGCAGCTCAATAAATGCTGATGCCAAATGCTGATGAGCATGAAATAATGTCAACTGAGCGGACCGCAGTATCAGACAGAACATGAAGCTGGAACCAGTTGTTTTGTGTGCGTTGCTCTGGGAAATGGTGTAGTTGCTTTCAACACACGGCGCCTGATACAGGCGTGAAAGGTGTAATAAAACTATTAGAAATGGGGCGTGTGTGCGTGCGGAGGGTTTGTGACAGTTGGGGGAATTTTGATCCTTTTGCACACAAATCGAGGACCGGGAGATTTCATTAAAGCGCCTGAGCTTGTGCCGGTAAATGAGTCATGAGGAGAGAGAAACAGAGGGAAATAATGAAAGAGTGAAAATGAAGACAGTGACAGAACAATGAAGAAGAGGAGAGAGGGGGAGGGAGAGGGAGAGGGAGAGAGAGAGAGGGGAGGCTGGAAGGGATGAAGAGAGCAGGAGAAGACCCTGGAAAGGTGATTATGCAGCATCTCCTTCCCACGCGCTCTGCCCACGCTGCCTCCCTCTCCACCCACTTCCTCCTCCTCTTCCTCCTCCTCCTCCTCCTCCTCTGGGTGGAGGACTCTCCACCGCTTAGCTTTGTTTTTACATGCACACCGAAGCTTTTGGGCTCTTTGTTACACTTGAGTTGAAGGACGGTCATACACCCACACGCATGCAGACGTAACTCCACATGCTGGAGAGCTAAAAACTCCTCTTAGCCGTCGTCTTGTGCTTCGTTAACGCTCAGCGAGAGATCCTGTATCAGACAAATAAAGCTCCAGCGCAAATTCAGACAAGAAGAAGCCTGAAGCTTATTCATTATCATTACACCCGCAACCAGGTCCGGACTCCCCAGGGTCTGTCGGTTACAAATATCATCACACATCATGTATTGTTATAACAAACAATGCTCTTTCTTTATCTGGCTTGTCTCTCCTGATTGAACTGAAGACAGACACTGTGTCCATGAGGTTAACTGTGGAGTAACGTAGTGTCGCTGTGACTCCGGCTGAAGGTGGAAACCGCTTTTGTCCGGATCTCTGTCTGATCGTGCAGATACAGAGATCGTCTTGTTAACCTGTCGCACACAGACTCCCGAGGGCTCCGGTCCTCCATGGAAAAAAAGGGACGCCGTGTAGGATTTGGTGACTTCGAGCTGTGTGCAAAAGCCGAACAAAGCGAACAAAGGCCACCGCCGCCACGTTGGTTTGACCCTTGCAGGTTTGTGTTTGTCTTTTGTGAGGAGGACCCGCTCTGTTTCCAGATATGAAACGTGTTGGGGGAGAATTTGTTGAGCTGCATGTTGTGAGTGTCTCAAGAACTCGGTGTGGCACCTTTCTTGGGAAACTGGTGACCTGACCTAGTTCACGATGGCATCCTGTTTGGAAGATTGATCCACACACGTCCACCACAAAATGCTCATTCTGAGCTAACAATACAAGAACAATTGTCAGTTCCAGATTATTGACCACTAAAGGAAAAAAGTGTTACAATTCCAAAACTTCTACTGGCTCCCCCACACAAAGCTACGTACTGGCCCTTTAAGAGGAGCTGGGAGAGCCGTGAGTCACTGCTGAGGTGGAATAAAGACCAGAGTGACTCACTGCATCTTGGGGCTTCCAAAACATCAACAGCGACGTGACTGGTGTGTTATCACTCAAATAATCCTCCCAATCCAAACATCAGTGCTTGTCCAGGTGACTCACGCGAGCTGAGCACCTGAGAGGGATTCATCGAGTTACTGAAGAGGCCGACCAGTAAGAAAAGAGGCGATTGAAGCAGCACAGCAGCTATGTTATTAATAAATGTAAAAAAACAAAAAAACTGGAGCATCTTCTCAATTTGCAGCTCCTCTCACCTTTATGGAGCTTTAAAGTGAGTTTGAGTTTGTTAATGCAAAGCACAGCAGGCCAGAGACCAAACAGCACGCGGACGAGCCGGATCTCACAGATATCTGTGGAATGACCTCGACCTGAGAGACTGAAGAGTCGCAGCAGGCCGTTGTGAAACGAAGCACACACTCAACAAAGTTGGTTTTCTTTGGGCATTGAGTGCAAATCCGAAAAGTAGACGGCCTCCGTGCAGCACCTCACCTTCGGCCACAAAAGCTCCCTCAACGTCTTCCTCCGGGTTGTGTGTCCGTTAACTGACAGCGAGGCGAATAACTCGCCACCATGGCGTGTTTTTCCTCACTCAATCGGAGCCAACAATTGTTCTTGGGAGAAAGAAGAGTGTTACGTGCCCCCTACCTCTGTTTCCCCCCCCCTCCACGCCCACCACACGCCTCCTTCACAGTGTGCTTCTCAGCTGTGGGTTTAATGATTAGCCTGATCCATAAATAAGTAATCAAAGCGAGGAGCAGCGACACTCGGCTCACCCTGATTGCCAGCCAGCTCCATCGCACACACAAACACGCGCGCCTCTTTTCAGAGCCCTTTTTAACCCACCTTTGTGTGTTTTATTGGAGGATAACCAACAGACAATTTGAGCCAGTTTATCTCATCTGATTAACACAATAGTACAACAGCTAGTGTGTCTGCTTGTGTCGGTGTGCGTGTTTGTGTGCGTGTGTGCGAGGGACAGCCGGGGAAAGAAAAAGGGAAACATACAGTCGGTGTCGACTGTGACTAAACTGACTGCAGCAGAATGACTCACGCTGTTGCTATGGCAACCTAAAGACACGCTCGCCTCTACATTGTGTGATTTCAGTTGCCGGATAAAGGGTGAGAGAAAGAACGTAAGGGTTCTTTTCCTTTTTCTTTTTTTTGTTGCAGAAATCATTGAGAGGAAGGAGCATAAAAACATCCCTGACTTTTAATAACAAAAGACAATATATATATATATATACATACACATGTATTTTGAGGGAGAGAGAGGGGTGTGTTGTACATTATTATATATATTTTTTATAAAAAAAACA